ATATATTCCACCCATTGCAACATATGTATTTAAGATATGAAGCGGCGCTTACAGCCGAACGGCTCTTTGCCTTATAGAACACGTCATCAATGTATACTGGATACATTGGAAGATTATACACAATCTGAAACTTGATCGCATGCCAGACACATAATATGTCGGAAACTTTGAAACGCTGATCCCAGATAGAATGGCTTGGTAAAGCGGAACATTAGAGCAAATACCAGTAGGAATCCGTTGTTACCCGGATTGCTCTAAATTGGGCGACAAAGTGGGGCTGGGAGTCCAGACCCAGAAACAGAAATATACCATCGTTTACCAAATCATAACACAAGCTTCCAGGCAGAAGTCCGAGCAATAACGGAATGAGTAAATTAATATATTTACCGACAGCCAGAAGGCAATTAGGGCGATATCAGGTAATAGAATTAAATCTAAAACCGTATTGGAATGTAAGAAAGCTTTAACTGAATGCTCTCCCAGAGGTAAGGTTTACATCATATGGGTACCAACACACTCGTGAGTAGTCGGCAACGAAAGGGCGAATGTAATAGCTTTAAAGGCAAGGGAGCTCGAGGCAGTTAACCTGACAAACGCAAAACCATTAGAGGCAACAAAAGCTGACTTAAAAAATATGCGTGTGGGAATCCCATAAGGCCTCTTGGAATAATGGAACGGTGGGTAAAACCACAAAGATCCTATGGGGTGAACCTGATAAGAGCAAGACGAGAAATCTCCTCAAAATGAACAAGTCTAAAGTTACTATGATGGTACGTATTCTGAGTGGACACACAGGATTAGGAGCACATCTAGAACATGTAGTTAGGACAGTGAAACTCTGGAGCACTTTGGAGATCCAAGTATCCGGAAATAACATTCCTGACTAACACTGATTGGAAAATTCTTAGGAATTACGTCCAGGATACAGATTTTCTGAACACTGAAAAATAATTCATTCAGTGAACATTTTTTTATGAAAAGGAGCGCACAACAGGCCCGATAGTGGCCTAGGTGTATTTCTTCGGATTTGATGTAGTTAACATCCTCCTATCAACCTATCCTACTATAGAAGACTTTTTACTATAGAAAGTCTTTCTTAAGAAAGCACTTTTACTATAAAAAAGTTATCCTTAAGAGGACTCTTTTACAATAGCTAAAAGTCTTTCTCAGAAAGACTCCATTTGCCATAGAATATAGAAAGTTTTCATTAAGAAGGCTCTTTTACTGTAGAAAAAGTATTACTTAGGAAAACTCTTATACTATAGAACAAGTATTCCTTAAGAAGACTCTTTCACTATAGAAAAAGTATTCCTTAGAAAGGCTCTTTTACTGTATATGAAGTCTGCCTTAGGAAGACTCTTATACTATAGAAAATGTCTCCCTTAGGAAGACTTAGGAAGTGTTACAATGATGACTCTTTTACTATAGAAAAAGTCATCCTTAGGAAGAGTCTTTTACTAAAAAAAGAGTAATCATTTGAGAGAAAGACTTTGTGAACAATTAATATTACAGAAAAAGAGTTAGGGGTTTCTCATAAACCAATGGATTTGGAAGAGGACATATTCTACCACTTATTTCTTATGATGCTCTAAAATACACAAAACGTTATTTGAGAAAATTTTAAAAGCATTTACCACCAAATAAAATTATTTCTTTACATTATTTCCCTAATAATATGTATAAATATAAAATGAAAATCACACAAAATTTCAAAAATCAACTTTCAATCTCAATTATATACAAGTATTGTGTGTTAAGATGCCAATGGATTTATTATTGATTATTTATTGAAGCATTCATTACATTAAATTATTTTGATGATTTTGTCTTTCATTAACAGCTTAATTACCTGCATAATTATTGCGAAAGTTTAAAAGGCCATGAAATAAAATGGAAAAAAAGAAATCTATTGTTTAAACAATTCTATACAATTTACTTTTGGTAATTTTTTTTCTATTTTTGTTTGGTGCAATTTATTGATTTTTCTTGAGAAATATTTTATGTGCGAAGAAAATTTCTTTTGTATGGGCCACAACACAACATATTTTAGTTGGAATTTAAAATTTGATAAAAGCGTTTTTTTTTCTTTTGAAATACAAATAGAAATATTTCCAAATATTTGTGAAAATTGAAGTAAACAAAAAGCAACAAATAATAACAGAAAATTTTAAGTAAAATTAAATACAAACACAATTTTGCAAGAAAATTTATGTAAATAAAATTTTATTTCTAGAATTTTGTTAAAAACCGTGAAAGATATAAAAATTTAAAGATTGGTAATTTGTAAGTCAAGTAAATATTATGTTTAGATGTTAAGAAATAAAAAATATGTGTAGGTTTTACATAATCTGTAGATAAAAGTGATTACGTTGTAACAGTTCAACTGTGGCTGATAACTCTTTCTGAAAATATTTTAAAAAATCGCCAAAATTTCCAAGTTTTTAAGTAATTTTATGTCTTTTACTTTTTTAATTCTATAGCAAGAACAAGTATATAAATTATTTTCTCAATTGCCACAATTGATGTGAAGTTGCATTGTTGTAAATAAATCAAATTTATAAAATTCGAATTTTTTATGCTGACAGTACTACTTTAAACGACAGATAGACAGACATATACAATATATAATTTAATGGTAAAAAAAGAAATACATAAAGATAGATGAAAGAGAAAATAGACAGTTAAACAGACATTTCTAAAAAATGTATTTTCTTTATTTTTATTAACTTTTTTTGTCTGTTGCAAATTGCCAAAGAAAACGTGTTTGATGGAGAAAATAAATTTAAATTAAACAGGATAAAACACGCAATTTTACTTCGACTTAAAAGTAATGTTTTAGGATTTAAAGAGGAATTGCTTTAAAAGTTGTATGAACAGTATCCTTTAGCTAGTGATTTTACAAAGTAAAGTAATTGCCACAATAGTGAAGGCACAGAATAACTGTAATTTTTAGCTTAGATTAATATAGTTAATATAGACTATGGGATCGATTTCAATTACTATTTTTGCTGCAAAAAAAATTATTATTTTGTGATCGATTAATCGGAATAAATGTCAAGTGCTTTACGTGAACACCTGCGTGTTGTCCTATTTCACGGTGGTCTTTTTCAAACCACTAGGTGAGCTTCTGTGACGACTCACCACCGCCCCATTTGTAACTTAGAAGCAGGTGGCAATTTACGTATATGGAATGTTCAGTCATTCGGCAACAGCACAGAACTCTTCCCGCTAATTTGGGTTTAAACCACCAGGACAAGTTCTGCAGACAACTGGCCAACCGTATTACCATGTCAAACTATACCAAGGAAAATCGAAGGAATGAATTGACATTACCATTTTATATTACCGGCAGACTGGAGGTACTGGTAGCTCCTCTATACCTCGGGATTGCAATACAACAAAATTGGGTTTGTCTTCTGATTGATTGGGTCATCAAGCAAACATGACCTGGGGGGAAATTAATCGGAATATCAGTTCTGCGAAATTAAATGCTTTCATTTCTTCATGAAATTCGATCAAAATTGATGAAATTTTATCAAGTAAACGGCCAAGGAGCTGCATGTTTTTAAATGAGAATCTTTTGTCTACACATCAGCTGATTAGCGTCACTACTCGGTCGGCCCACTAGTTTTTAATTAAAAACTGGAAAATGTGTAAGATACAAAATTCTTAAAAATAATTTTTAAGTCTTGATTAAAAGACTTTAAAATAAAATCTAAAATAATTGATTTAAATTGGATACCATCCACTAGTTTGGACTATATATCAGTCTATAATCTTGAATGAAGATTAGTCTATAACTTTGACTATAGATTACTATATAGTCTTGGCTATAGATAAATCTATATGCTTCAATATAGATCAGTCTATAGCGTAGTCTATAAGTCTTGATTATAATTGAGTTTCTTGAAGATCGGTCAATAGTCTCGACTATTCATAGTGTTGACTATAGTTAGTTCAGTCTTTAGTCTTAATTATAAATCAGTATTTAGTCTTGACTATATGAGTTGTCTATAGATCAGTTTATACTATTGAATACATCGGTCTATAGACATGACTACGGATCAAAATATATATTTATAGTTTAGGATAAAGATATACATGATATACTTTTGACAATAGATCTTTCTATAAGTACGCCTTAAGATAATTTTTTATTGTTGACTACAGATTAGTTTATAATCTATTGCCTCGATTTTAAATCAGCGTTTACTATTGACTGTAGTCAGCAAACTAATCTGCAATTCCTAGTAGTATTACCCACTAATTTCGAATATCATAATTAGTACTGAAAACTGTTGTTATTAAATACGGGGTTTGATATATCTTGCATGCGACTTTCAAAAATGTGATTTATTTTTAGGAAAATATGATTTGGGACTTGAATTCTTAAAGAGTAATTTCTCGTTCAGTTCTATGCCTGGTTAACAATTCTAAATCAAATATAAATTAGAAAAGTATTTCATAAATCTCTTCATTTTTACAACTTCTGCACGCAGTGATCCAACAAAGCTGAGATAGTGGTATGTAAACTTGTTTTTTCATAATTAAACTTTTACATGTAGCAAGCAGAATATAAACAATATTAACAATCTCATTTTTTTTTTTATTTCACACAGTATTTCACCTTTGTTATTTTTATAAAAAGTCTATAGTAATATACACAGTTTTTGTTACTTGCTCAGTACAGAGGATAAACCCAATTCTTACATTTTTTTATAAAAAGTAAACATTTTAACCTAAAATAGTATTAAAATTTTTGACAACAACCCCTCCAACAATAAAAAGAGCATTATACATATTTTGTTGTATAATTTCTACTTGTATCAAGGACAGAATCCTTGCAAAAAAATTTTTAGTTGAACTTGAAACCAATGGATTTTTGTTGTTACTCATTATAAAACCAAAATTTTTTTTGGAAAATTGTATAAACTACACCAATGAAAAGTTATTTTCTAAAAGCAAATAAAAGATAAAAAGCAAGAAAAATGGATACTTACGGAAAAAAGAAGAACAAAAATGTGGTGGTTAATAATAAAATCCAAGCGAAAGTCGCAGGAATGTAACGTGTCTTAACATCGCATTTGGGCATATTGTGGCTGCAAATCCCTCTGCTTCAGCACTCACTCACTGACTGACAGGCTCGACTCTTTAAGTCTCGATGGAGGACAATTTTCACAATGGATGATGGCAATGATGAGTAGTATGATGATGGAGTGTTTTTAATTTTTATAGTAATCCAAGGTTGTTGGTTGTTTTTGCTTTATTTATTTCTTTTTTATTGAAGGTTAAAAACAGGTGCACATGAAGGACCAAATAAGGAAAGTGCAGCAATGAAAAAAGTCAAGAAACGCGTATAACAATAATAATTTGCAAAAAAAAAAAAGTTGTCTCAACCAGAATTTCTGTGTCTTCTGATGAAGAAAAAAATACTCTTTGGCAAATTTTTATGGCAGACACAATGGAGCTCAAACCATCCAATGTTGTAGTACTCGACGTAGTAAGAAAAAGGAAGGAATGACTGTGACACCAGACAACAATAACAACAAATGAGAATGAGGTGTAGAAGTAATGTAAAGAAAAGTTATAGAACAAGAAGACTAAAATGGATGACTAGAAGTAGGATGTTTCGGAGGAAAAAAACAGCGTATTGCAAAATTCAACAGCAGACAAGTTTTTTTGCTTTTCCTTTTCTTGTTTAATTTATATTATTTTACTTTGTTTTCATACACAATTTTTTTCACACATTAATCTTAATTTTTTGCAATTTTTATTGTTCTATTTCTTTTGTTTTTTTCTGCACTTTTTCCCTTAAAATGCCGTAAGAAAAAATTTCGCTTTTCTTTAATTTTATTCTCTTGTTTTTTCTTACTTTTATCTTTCTGTAACTTCTTTCACTAACACACAAGATAATTCAATTCAATTTCATTCAATTATGAAAACATTTTTCGCTTTCTTACAAAAGCAAAGAAAAAATGTAAACAATTTTTTTCTTGATTTAACTTTTTTCTGTTTTGTTTAATTTATTTTGCAGTAGAAATATCTCAGCATGCAATTTTTTGCGTCAAATTTTTTACATAAAAAAAAACAGTAAACCCGATAATTTTTTTCTATATTTTTACACCGATTTTCGCACTTCAATGAACTTAAAGAAGAGTGTAGTGTGCAGAAGCGAGCAAAAAATAAATCTTGACAATTGGAATTTTTTCTCCGTTTCTCTTTTTGCTAATGTTGTGTTGTTGTAAAATATCTATTGAATTTCCACATTTTTTATTTTTGCCTTAATTAAGCATTTGAATAGATTTTCTATAAAAAATTTTCTTTTATTAATTATATTTGCTTTGCTTTTTCTTTTTCTCTTTTACACACCACCTTTTTTCACACACAAACATACACACAGTAAAATTTTTTCTTTTTGCCTTCAAAGGGCCCCGTCTATTTTTGCTTTTACTAGGGACTTTTCTGTTTTTTTAATATTTTTTGATATTTTGTTTGGAGTAGAAGTATTGTAATTCACTTTTTCTTAATTTATTTATACATTTGTTTAATAGAATTCAATATAATTTCATCCGCTACACTGTGATCCATGATTCGTTCGTTCGCTCTAATAGAGCCCTGCGCTGACAAATATTAACGGCGGCGGCGACTGATATGTCGGCGGGGGCGACTGACACCAAATATATCGGCGGCGGCTTAAAATCGACTGTAAGCCGGCTAAGTTTTCAAATGCGTTTAGTTTTCAAATATAAACGGAATCCGAGAGATCAGAAAGTGGGATTTTGGAAGCAAATATATTGTTTATAACAACAAAACAGAGCAAGCACAAAAGTTGTGTGAGAAATTATGCAGGGATGGATAAAAAATTCTTAAAAATTAAAAACAAATCCTTTCTCCAAGTTTTACGAGGATCGGCCTATATTTGACCATATCCTCCATATAAAACTTTTTGCAGAAAATCAGTTTCTAAAAAATTTTGCATTAAAAAAATTATCAATAACGTAAAAACAAAGACATTTTATTCATTTATTTATTCAGTAATAAAAAAAGCCAATTTGGGCAAAATAATATTACACAGTCCTGTCTGTTCTGTAAACCGAATCCGAGTAAATTTCTCGTTTAAAAACGAATTCCCATAATTTTTCTCGTTTCAAAACCGAGTACACAAATCTAGTAGAAAGTAAATCGAATGTAATTTTATTCTAATAAATTAAATAACTATTATTCTGCGTTTTTTAATACAATTATAACTAAATATATGTAAATGCTATAGGCATTTTAAACTCTTTTTCATATAAAAGATGTATTCCTTTACTTGTCATGTTTGCAGGTTTTTACCAGAAATCGTAAAAGAGAACAAAATTGAGAAATAATCATGTAAATAATAGTTTCTCTTTGCCAGAACTTGTCGGTTTTAGCCAGAAAATTTTTTCCTGGCAAATAGAAAAAAAATTGTCAAATAAATTATTTGTTTAAAAAGTACATTGAAAACAAAAAATGTTTGAAATTTTTTATTTACTGATAGAGAAATTTGGTTTTTTTTCTGTTCCCGTACTTATTACAAGTACGAAGAGAAAATTCATTAATTCTTTTTATCCAGAAAAGTTCTGGAACAAAGCTAAAATAAGTTTATTTTTCTGAATTCTACGTTCAAATAAAAATTCGATTTGAAGAACACCAAATTTTTAAAGTTTCAATAAGTGTTAAGATTTTCTTAAAATAAGACAAACAGAACAACATCAATTAAAGGGATCACAAAGAGATTGAAAAATATTCCAAAAGTTTCACTTTGAAAACATTATTAGAGTGTAACTCTAAAGGCAGATTATTCCTATTTTAGCGGTAATTTCTTTATGATTAAAATAATTAAGAAGTAAGAGTTATACCTTTTCGGCAAATCATATGTCGTAAAAAAGCAAATTTCGGAAGTGGTCATATACATATGTATATGGACTTTGATCATAAGATTAATAAGAACGTCAGCGAGATTTTCAGAATAGGGACATAAATG